ATATTGAGCAGATACCCTTTGTCAGGGTAAGGAAATTTCTTTCTATTCTGTTAATAAGAGGTTTTGGTTTTTTTAAAGAGTTTTTTAAATGAGTAAAAGGTGATTTTTATCAAACACTATTTCTACCTCTGTTGAGATGATCATGTGATTTTTCCTTTCTAATCTGTGAATGTGTTAGTACATTGATAAATTATTTGACATTGGCTCATCTATACATTTATGAATTAGACGCTACTTGGTCATATTTTTCATAATTTGTTTTTATGGTGGTGTATAAATTTAGATTCATTTCTATCATCTTATTTAATTCTCAGATTTTTCATCTTATTTACGTTTTTCTTTTCTTCTGCTGTATTGATAAAAATGTCAATATTCCACTGTTTTCACCTTGATATTTGGAAGCTGTAAATGGTATTTGTATTCTTTTTGTGATTTCTAACTTTTTTTTTTTTTTTTGAGACGGTGTCTCGATGTGTTGCCCAGGCTGGAGTGCAGTGGTGCAATCTTGGTTCACTGCAATCCTCCGCCTCCCAGGTTCAAGCAATTCTGCCTCAGCCTCCCAAGTAGCTGGGACTACAGGTGTGCACCACCATGCATGGCTAATTTTTGTATTTTTAGTAGAGACAGGGTTTCACCGTATTGGCCAGGCTGGTCTCAAACTCCTGAACTCATGGTCTGCCCACCTCGGCCTCCCAAAGTGCTGGGATGACAGGTGTGAACTACTGCGTTCAGTCGATTTCTAACTTTTTAAGACACTTAGTTTGAGAATTTCTGTCTGAGTGTGGTGGCTCACGCCTGTCATCCCAGCACTTTTCGAGGCCCAGATGGATCACCTGAGGTCAGGAGTTCGAGACCAGCCTGGCCAATACGGTGAAACTAAAAATACAAAATTAGCCGGGCATGATGGCATGTGTCTACAATCAATCCCAGCTACTCTGAAGGCTGAGACAGTAGAATCACTTGAACCCAGGGGGCAGAGGTTGCAGTGAGCCAAGATTGCGCCACTGCGCTCCAGCCTGGGCGACAGAGACTCCTTCTCAAAAAAAAAAAAAAAAAAGAAAGAAAGAAATAAAATTTCCAACCAACTCACAGATATTCCATGTTGCTGTTCCCCATCTGGACATGAAAATTGCCTTGGGCACTCTCACCTTTCCCTGGCCACACCTCCCTCACCTGTCTCCCTGCCTAGTTATTGTTTGGAGACTTGGAGTCGCCTTAGAAATTTTCACAAAATCAATCAAAAACAATCAGTACACGCACAGGGAGGCCTTTGTCACCCAATAGAGAGGAAATCCCCGACACAGCTCTGCCCGAAGCTAAGGCTCGACAAGCCCGCAGTGGTCGCTGCTCTCAGCCTCTCCTCCTGGGGTCAGTGATCCAGGGCTTGTGTTGGCTGATTTGCTGCTTTTGTTCCAAACACTCTGTGATCCTGAGATCATGTGATGCCAGGTCACAGAGAGATGCCTCCAAGCGCTAATGACTGCTAAAATCACTGGGCAGCCCAGCCTGATAGAGCCCTCAGGGCCACAGACCAAGATATTTGGATGACCAAGACAGACGTGGCCAGCAGGCTTCGGACAGTTCCCTGTGCTTCCAGGAGCGATCACGGTGTCTGCTTCTGTCATGATGTCCTGCAGGGCCGCAGGTCACACAGCAGGGCTCTCCTCTCCATTTGTACCGGGAGGGAAGGACAAAATGCTGTCCAGTGTGGATGCTGGACAGACCCTGTAGACCATGAGGGCCTGGGCTGCCCTCAGAATGGGTATTAGGGCTGAGGTGACAGCAGGGAGGAGGGAACTTGAGGGCTGAGGGTGCTGCCAGGAGGGGTCATTCCTTTGGGGAAGCTGTTGGAGGACACCTGAGGATCCTCTTCTACTGCAAGGTGACCTTGGCCTGAACCCAAGAGGGCCTGAGAGGCCAGAGTGGGGCTCCCACAGGACCTGAGGAGCACTGCCTGGGGCTGCTGCCACCCACGGAGGTCGTGGGGGCCCCCACCCCTAAAACACTGTGCTCTGTGCAAAGTGGCTCTGCCTGCCTGTGGTTCACTTTATAAACCATTAAATTATAAATCGTAAAGCTCCTAATTTCTGCAAATGTGACTTTTAAAGTTTCACTCTGCACTCAATGGGTTCATTGTGTTTTGCAAGGAAAATTTTTCTGAAAGAAGTACTTTTTTTTTTTTGAGACAGAGTCTTGCCTTGTCACCCAGGCTGGAGTGCAGTGGTGCTATCACAGCTGACTGCAACCTCCACCTCCCAGGTTCAAGTGATTCTCCTGTCTCAGCCTCCTGAGTAGCTGGGACCACAGGTGCACGCCACTATACCCAACTACTTTTTGTATTTTTAGTAGAGATGGGGTTTCACCATGTTGGCCAGGCTGGTCTCAATCTCTTGACCTCGTGATCCACCCGCCTTGGCCTCCCAAAGCGTTGGGATTACAGGCGTGAGCCACCGCGCCCGGCCCAAGCACTACTTTTCCACTGGATTACTAAATTCCGTAGAAGATGAGGTTCCACAGACAGAACTGGTTTCAAGAGGGCTCTTTTTAGGTGCCCATCCAGCCTGATGCTTGTGTTTTTCAGAATTGAAGAGGATTCTTTGTTCAGAACCCACCTTGCCTCCCAGGTGCTCAGAGACCAGAGGCCCATCCTGCCGCAGACACTGGGGTGGAGATCCTTGATGAAAATAAGGGAACATGGCCAGGCGCAGTGGCTCATACCTGTAATCTCAGCAGTGGGAGGCCAAGTGGGAGGATCACTTGAGCCCAGGAATTCAAGACCAGCCTGCACAACACAGCAAGACTCCATCTCTATAAAAAGAAAATAATAAAAATAAGGGAATAAAAGTGAGAGGTGGGGGCAGCTCAGGCTGAATGCACCCCAGATGGAGTGAGGGAATCTCATAAGGAGCAAAGACACATAGAGAAATGGCCAGGCACTCAAAGCTCAAATTAGAGCTCAGCCATTGGCCATCAGCTGCCTGGAGTCCTACCCAGGGCACATGGGCCCACTTCATTACCCAGAGCTGAGAGCTGTTTTTTCTGGAAGGAGGTCCCAGGGGCACACCCCTGCAGGGCCTCCCACCTCTCCCAGAGCACCTCTGCGGTTAGTGAGTTCACTTTACTCTTCCGGGAGACGCTTCCCTTGATGTTGCTAATATTTCCCCTTACTTTCAACCTCAGACACTACAACTTCCCCAATCTTGGTCTCAAACGCCGCCAGATCTTAGACACAGCTGGAGAGACGATAACATCAATCGAACCAATGAGAACTCCACGGGTCTGCAGCTGGGTGAGCCTATTAATTAGCGAAAAGCCTTGGACATCTCAGCAATCTGAAGTGATGGAAGGGCGTAAGCTGGCAGGAGACAATGTGGAATTCAGAGCATTTCCCCTGACTTAAAATGTCCAAGCTTAGGAAAGCTCATAGAGTGAGGAGACACGTCTAGGGCACATAATAGTCTTCTCAAAATCAACTTTTGGGGCCCCAACACTACAGCCTTCCTGGTCCCAGGAGGCCTCTGTGAAAAGGTTCCAGTTCAGGATTCACCACATGTCCTGAGTGAAGAGGCTGAATTCAGAGCTCTAGAAAGCCCTTCTAGGGATTGCAAAGGTGGCAGTCAAGGCTGGAGTGGGGGCAGAAACCCCAGGGGCCCCAGATTTCTCTTGCAAGCATACAACCAAAGGCACATGTGTGTACCATGCCATGGAGCCAAACACCTAACCCTGTGTCATGTAACAGTGTGGGGGTTCCTCTCCCTCAGCATGGCCATTCCCCTTCTTCCTGCCTTCCTGGCAGACAAGGCCAGGGGCCCTACCTCCTTCTTGAAGGAGCATCATCTCCAACCATGTCCGACAGCAGTGGAGGGCCCCAATGCTGAAACTAATGGAGAGGCCCCAGCAGCAGCTAAGTCCAAAGAGGCAGAGCCCTTTATCCATCAGGCCTCTTCCTGTAGGTCTTCTGTCTTCACTGTCTCCATCACCATCATCACCAGCACCGTAGCCATCGTAATTGGCATCTGTCTCCTGAACATTAGCAGCCTTTACATGTAGTTTGGTCTGTAGACTTAAAAAAAATTCTGGGCACATCTACATGAAATTCTGTGTTTGAACAATTCTTGTTACTTAATTAAAAAAACTGATTATAAATATTATAAAATATTTTTATATAAAATTTTAAATATAATTATGAAAATTCTAGGACACATGTCTACATTAAATTCTGTTTGAACAATTCTTATTGTTCAAAACATGGCCCTTCTTTAAGTATTTGAGATAGGGTCTCGCCCTGGCACCCAGGCTGGAGTGCAGTGGTCTGATCTTGGCTCACTGCAGCCTGAACTCTCAAGCTCAGGCAATCCTCCCACCTCAGCCTCCCAAGTAGCTGGAACTACAGGTACACAGCACCACGCCCAGTTAATTTTTGTATTTTTTGTAGAGATAGGGTTTCACCATGTTGCCCAGTTTAGTCTTGAACTCCTCAGATCAAGCAATCCCGGACTCAGCCTCCCAAAGTTCTGGGATTACAGGCGTGTGCCACCTCACCTGGCCTATTTTTTGAGACAGGGTCTTGCTGTTGCCCAGGCTGAAATGCAGTGGCACAATCGTAGCTCACTGTGGCTGGGGACCCCTCCTGCCTCAGCCTCCTGAGTGGATGGAGCTACAGGTGTGTGCCACCATGCCCGGCTAACTTTTTATATCGTTAGTAGAGATGAAATTTCATGATGCCCAGGCTGGTTTCGAATTCCTGGGCTCAAGCAATACCAAAGTGCTGGGATTACAGGCATGAGCCCCTGCGCCTGGCCCTGTATTTCTTTATAAGCAATGTGAAACAAACTCCATGATGAGCCTGAAAACCGACCAGAACCCTCTGCTCCTCTTCCTTTTGTCCTCTTTTCCCACCACCTGGTGGGATTTCGAGCCAGTAAAGGTGGCTTAGCCCAGATACTGAGAGGACAAGGGGAATCAACAGAACTTGCTGAGGTATAGGACTTACACAGGAGCTTGACTGAAAGCCTGTGACTATTTAATTAAAAACATTTAAAACAGGAATTAAATTGCATCAACGGTCAACGTTTGAAACCAGCTCTTCCTGTAGACCAGAGACCCTAGTGCTGCTGACAGGGTCTTGTGCCAGCCCTTAGATTGTCCTGGCAAAGTCGAGAACACATCCAGGTCACAACAGATTCTGGTGTGTCCTGCAGAGTATGTGTTTTACAAGCAATATCCCACCCCATGGCCAAGGTGAAATAGCCACAAGTTCTGTGCCCTGGCCCCATGTCACAAGCAGCACAGCGGCCACTCAGGCCAACACATCCAGAACTATGTAACAATCAACAGATAAGAACTTGTTTCCAGGTTATGAATATTTGTAACGCTTCCCTCTGATGCCACAACAGGCCCTATCTCCCAGCCCCTAAAGCTGCTCCCCATAATTCCTCTGGCAAAGGGCTCATCCTTTACCAACTGCTGCCCTCGCTGTTGTGGAAGAGCAATTGCTGGCTCTTCAGTCTGATGTCCTGGTATACCCAGATCAATGGCAGCTACATGAGCCTTAGCCTCACAGTTCTGGGGCCCTGGACTGAGGCTAGAAACAGGGCACCTCCCCCATGGCCGAGACTCCTGCAACAGCCAGGCTTTCCTCAGAACCCCTGCTCTGTGTCTCAGGGGTGCTGGGATCCTGTCCTTGGCTGGAGGACTGTAGCTTACAGGTCGACTCCCCCTTCTCTCTCTCCCTGTTGGTCTGGGGTGAATAAGAGACTATGATGAATCCCCTTTTCTGCAGGGCAGTGTCTGCAGGGACCAGCTCTGCCCTGTGTCCTGTTGAGGATGTTTCTAGAATGCTCAGCTTCCACTGATGCAGGTCCTGCTCTTGGGGTGCATCTTAGAGTCTCACCACTCACCCCTCACCAGGTTCCAGTAGCAATTTCCAGTGCTGCCCTGGGGTCCTCAGGGCCCTGTTCAGGGTCATCTTCTGGAGGTAGATGGCATCGTAGCAGTCCACCATGGAGACAAGCTGCAAGGCCAGTAACCAGGCCTCAGCCGTGGCAGGGTCCACTGCCTAGGTAGTACCCAGCTCCAATACCATGGGCTCCCCTGGGGGCAGGTCCACTTTGAAAGACTCCTGCCATGAAGAAAAGAAGCTTTTCCAGTGTGAGCAGATAAGAGGCAGATCCAATCTCCAGGGAAGACCCTGGGTCCAGTCAGCATCCTCAAGAGCCAGGCCCAGGGGCTCAGCGTCCTGAGGCCCCAGTTCAGTGGCCACAAATTCGAGGTCCGGGTCTTCGTCTTCCACCTCTTCTGGGGCTGATGCCAGGGTCTCTGGCTCCCATGCCTCAGAGCCCACCTGCATAAGCTGCTCGGGGCTCTGCCCCCAGCCCAGCTCCATCTCTGGGGACCCCTCCTGCTCAGACTCTGCCTCAGTGTGCTCCATCAGCTCAGGGTCCCAGTTGACTTCTTCCAAGATCTCTGACTCCAACATCTCTTTAAGGTCCTCAAAGGCACGCTTGAAGCAAGTGAAGCAAACGCTTAGCTGGTCTCCATGTTGACGCCGATACATCCAGGAGGCGTAGAGGTAGGATATGCCCTCTTCCTCGAAAGGCACACTGACCGGGGGGCACATGGCCAGGCTGCCTGCCTCCTGCTGGGGTGGACAGGAGCGGGAACTTGAGGGAACCTGAGGGAAACCAGGGGAAACTTAGAGAAACTGAGGGAACCTAAGAGATACTGAGAGAAGCTGTGGAAACCTGAGGGAAACTGAGGAAAATCTGGCTGCAGGTGCTGGGGCCAGTAGGATGCTGGGGGGCAGGGATGAGGGGGACAAGGAACAGGAGAAAGGGGTTTCCTGTCCTGGGATTTGGGGTGGGGTGGATGACCTGGGTCCCAGCTCAGTGGGGACCTGCAGAGGGTGAAAGCTTGAACTTCTGGAAATGTCCTCAGCTTCTGTAGTTGCTACGGTCTCTGGAAAGGCAAAGGGAGGGAGATTAGGCGCCCCAGCAGGCAGGGCGGGAGTGGACTGCGGGAAACAGCAGAAACAGGCATGTCAGTTCAGACCGGCCCTTACTGGGGACCCTGTTCAGTTTGAACAGCACTGGGGCTGGGAGGCCTTCAGTTTCTCCAACTGACCTCTCTGGGCTCATCGCTTCCCCCTACACCTCAGGGACCCCAACTGTCAGTCTCACCTAACAGAACCTGAAGGAAACTGAGGGAAAGCGGCAGAGCCTGAAGGGAACTGAGAAAAACTGGGGAAACTGGAGGGAAACTGGAGGGAAACTGGAGGGAAACCTGAAGGAAAACTGGGGAAACCTGAGAGAAACTAAGGGAAGCTGAGGAAACCAGAGAGAAACTGAAGGAACTTGAGGGAACCTGAGAGAAACTGGGGCAAACTGGAAGAAACAGAAGGAAGTTTGGGGAACCCAAGAAACTGAAGGAAGCTGAGGAAAACTGGGGGAACCTGAGAGTAATGGGGGAAAGCTCAGAGTAATGGGGGGAAGCTGAGAGAAATGGGGGGAAGCTGAGAGAAACCGGGGGGAACAGAGAAAACTGAGGAAACCTAAGGGAAACTGAGGGAACTTGAGGAAAATTGGGGAAACTTGAGAGAGACTGAGAGGACCCGAGGAAAACTGGGGGAGCCTGAGTGTAATGGGGAGACCTGAAACTGGGGAGACTTGAAACTGGGGAGATCTGAAACTGGGGAGACCTGAGAGAAACTGGGGAGACCTGGGGGGACCCATGGGAAAGTTGGGGGACCCGTGGGAAAGTGGGGGGACTTGAAACTGAGGGGATCTGAGGGAAACTGGGGGAACCTGAGAAATTGAGGAAACCTAAGGAAAACTGAGGGGAACTTGAAGGAACCTGAGAGAAACTGAGGGAACCTGAGGAAAACTGGAAGAATCTGA